AGGAGCAAAGACGCTACTAGTAGCTCCTGGCCTTACTACTAGGAACAGGAAGCTACTAGGAACAAAGGGCATCGCTACTAGGAGCAAAGACGCTACTAGTAGCTCCTGGCCTTACTACTAGGAACAAGAAGCTACTAGGAACAAAGGGCATCGCTACTAGGAGCAAAGGGCATCGCTACTAGGAGCAAAGACGCTACTAGTAGCTCCTGGCCTTACTACTAGGAACAAGAAGCTACTAGTAACGTCCTCGAAGCACTTGATGACGCATGGCACCTTTGGGACCACCAAAAGGTGGGACCCTCGAGCGACCTTTTCTGAGAAAAGACGATACTTAATTTGTGCTTTACTTCCTGCTTTCACAAACGAGCTTGTCCTGTAAGGGAAACACATTCGTCACCATTTGCGCCCATCCGTCGAGTGTGTCAACTTGTCACACTGAATCTGCCATTTCGGACCAGTAGATCAGCAGATCTTGAATCCAAGAGCGACGGCCTCCAACCTACTAGCGATGGCCTCCACCCTAGTAGTGATGGCTTCCAACCTACTTGAATCCAAGCAAAAGTTTGCACATGTCTTTAGTCGGGAGTGCTCCAAGGGGCAGATGGTTAACGCCAGATGTTCACAAGTCTTGTCACAAGTAGTTCAGGAGCCCCTACTAGCTTTTTTGTTCCTAGTAGTAAGGCCAGGAGCCCCTTAGTAGCGTCTTCCCGAATCCGCGCTTGCACTTAATAGTTGTAGCCAGAAGCCAGATGGCCGAAGACGTTAAAAATGCCATGGGGAGGATGTCCCGCGCTTTGCGCAAACCCGACTTGTTTGGCTTTCTCACCTTTGCCGTTCGGATTGAGGACACAAGTCGTGCCTCACTCTGGCAGGTGTTGCCAAAGAGCGAGCACATGCACAGTAGACATCTCAGCTTGACACGAGTGGTGTGAAGCATTGCGGATAGTGATGACGAAACACCGTGTGTAGCTTGGCAAAATGCACAACATGAACTTTACACTCCAAAAACTAGAAATGAAGGAGGTACAGTTTCAGAGTAGATGGCACAGACCCCTACATGTCTTTTAGATGGGGGTCCATATAAACGACCTTTTGGGGTTTGTGCCATCTACTCTGAAACTACTGTAATGATTATATATACTGGATTTCACCGTGTTTACCAACTTTGTAGTGCATATAGTATATGTCCCTTGCCGCGTTATTTGAGCTCTGTTAACTGGAGCCCTAATAGCATGCAACTGGTCCTTTTGAATCTCCCAGGTTTGAAAAAGTCACGGCCTCAAGTGGATTAAAGTCGGCAACTGTTTCGACCCTTGTTGATTGAGGTGAAGGAGCGGGCCCAAAGATTCAGCATAAGCCACTTGGAGGTCATTCATGGTCTCTTTGGACGCTACTAGGGGCTCCTGGACCTACTACTAGGAGCAAGAGGCCGCTACTAGGAACAAGATTCTTTGGGTGGGGTTTCAAAACACATTCATGGTCATTTGCTTTCTTCTTTGTCACAAAGAGATGCCAAGAAGCGAACGGAGCTGTTGACAGCCCAGGCTCAGCGAGTGGTCCGCGACCATCCTCACCTACTGCAACCTGGCTTGAAATGGAAGCCAAGTCTTAGTGCGTGTTGCATAGGTAGGTTCTGAGAGCGTTGTTCAATGAAGTGCGACCTTGTCTGACCTAAGTTGTATGTAGCCGCATGTAGCCGCTCTCGATTTGGACTTTATTGGGAACAAAGTAAGTAGAGTGAATGTTCTCTCAGAAGGTGCAGCTCAGCGATTCGGACGCGCAAATGCAAGCAACGTAACTTGCCCCAGGTCATGTGTTGCAATGTTTTAGACCTTCAACTGTTTGGATCGTTTGCCTCAGGCACGGTAGGCGGGCTCTTTTTTCTTCAGAGACGGCCAGCCGAGCAGGTTTTTCTTCTGCTCGCTCATGGTGGTGCCGTGCACATGTTTGTACATGGTGATCGCTCATTGTGACAGGAGCGAGGGAATCAAAACCCTCGCTCCTAGGTCCTAAGTTCCTAAGTGTTTTTTTGGCGCCCGTTGACTTTGTATGGCAAGTGCAGGAGTTTTCAGCCCTGTTACTTGGCAGCCCCAAATTTTGTTGTTCTCAGGTTGGAGGCCTTGGGAGGCCAAATGCTTTTGGGCTTGGTGGTGCGTGGACTCTGGCGTGTTCAGATTTCTGGTGAGTCAGCGAAAGCTTCGTTGTGCAACTCGCAGTTGTCTTTGGAAGTGCTGTGGTTGCGACACGTACCGACACGGCTGTGATGTGAGCAGCAGTGCTTTGTGAAACTCAAAGTGCCGATGTCGTGGCACGTGCTTTTTGTGAACCTCGGCCTGGGCGGATTTCACCAGCACACACAGGTGCTCTTATGTGCGTGGGCGCTCGCACATATATGCTCTCATGATCTCTCATGTGTATGCTCTCGATTGTGGCATGCAGTTTTGTGCATGTTCATTTGTGTGCTCTCATGTGTGCCTTTTTACGTGTGTACTCGTGTGCTCGCATCTATGTGCTCTGTGGCGTGTCATCGCATGTGTGTGCCCTCATATGTGTGTTCTCGGTGTGTGTGGTGTGATGTGTGTATGCTCTCTTGTGTGTGCGCTTTCATATTGTTCCTGTTGGGGGTCTTTTGCCAGCAGTTTCCGTTGCCCGATTCTAGTAGCAATGCCCGTTGTTCCTAGTAGCCTTCTTGTTACTAGTAGTAAGGCCAAGAGCTACTAGTAGCTTCTTGCTCTTAGTAGCGATGCCCTTTGTTCCTAGTAGCTCCTTGCTCCTAGAAGTAAGGCCAGGAGCCCCTAGGGCCCTAGGATGGTGGTAGTTGTGCCTACAATTAAGCTCTTCCAGTGCCCGAGCTTTGGCGGCAGCGTTCATGGTCAGCGAGTCTGGAGACCTCCAAGATTGCACTGCAATTGCCATGATCTTGACTCCTTCCTTAGCCTTAGTCGTTCTAGGGTTCATGTCGTCCCGATTGGCAAATCTGGAAGCCTTGGCCTCGGTGAACAGATCGCTCAGTCACGCTGGGGGAAACGTCATGGCCCCACTTCCACAGGCAGTGCTTCCCTTTTTTGCGTAAAGTCATCATGAAGAGTCGATCCTTAAACATCCTTAAACTATCGATCTATCAATGTAGGTTATTGCCTGGCTAAGCTTCGCACAAGTTATCAGAGGAAAAGCAATTCCAGTAGCAGTTTAGCAATTGAGGTTGGCGGGCCATCCGATTACAGGCGGAATTGAGCCAAGAGACCCAAGAGGGCAACTTCGAGGAAACGAGCCGCCAATCCATGCAAGGCATGCTCATGGCAATTCCAGATCCACTGAACTTGGCCCACAACATTCCATAGGCAACCTATGTTTGTCCCCGCCTTCCCCGCGCCAATTCTCAGCAAAAAAAGGGTGCCAAACCTGTTGAGGTTGCACCGGCATTTCCATGTATCAAACTTCGCGAACTAGAAGCAATGTTGGCTACTAGGGGCTCCTGGCCCTACGACTAGGAGCAAGGACACTACTAGGAGCAAAGGGCATCACTACTAGGTTCTAATGTGCTGCTGTGCCATGTCCTTCCCCCCGTGACCTGTGCTAATTATTTGCTAATTGTTGCGCTCCTGTGCCATCGCATTGCATACTTGGCCTCCCATGTCCACATTCCAATGCCATTTTGTTTGGCCTCCGCTTAGCACCAAGGCAAGAAGACCGGAAAGTGATACCAAGGCCCTGTTGTAAGTGTAGTTCGTATGTTCACTGATTTATTTTTTCTTTTGAGGTGGAGCAGCTCATGGCATTGGGTTTCACGGCCCCATCCTAAGGTCATAGAGTCATGCAATCAAAGCCCAGCATACATGTTCACAACCCCTGCAAAGCCCAGCATACATGTTCACAACCCCTGGGCAAGGAGTACAGAAATCTAGAAATGTGTGAGGCGGCAGCAGCACGGCACGGGCTGCCAGCGGCTTACGTTTTGGAAAAAAAATGGCACTATCGATTGCTTTAGCTTCGTCACCATTGACAGTGCTTTATGGAGAATCGCTGCACGAAGGCGTGTTTGCAACGGAGACATCGAGGCTGCCAGTATGTGGTTGCTGCCACCTTACCCTGCGCCTAGCAGTTGGCAGAATCAATAAATTGAGGTCTTTCTTTTGTAATGCGTTCCACAGACGCGCAGACACGAACAAATTATGCGGTTTACACTTATTAATTGACACCTGAGGTTGGAGGAAAGCAATGCGGATGAGATTCTGGCAGCTGAGGTGTTTTCATGCAAAAGCTGTTTGGATTTAAGAACATGTTGTCATTACATGCATGTTGGCAATCGTTTGTAAAGACCAGCTGCTCAAATTGCTGAAATGCAACCGTCATTTCGACTGAGTTGCCTCAGGTTTTGCCCACGCAACATTGGCATGTTCCACACATGTTGGTATTCGAAATCCGCTCAAACTGATTACGTCCTTCTTCAAGCGTCTATGTCGACAGCAAGGTCTTTAGACATGATGCCATTGGAAGGAGGTACAGGAAATTGGAAGAATGTAACTCAATTCTTGTGTTTCCGCGACTTTCGATCTTGTTTTGTTGCATATGTCGCTTCTGTCTACAAGCCCCATGGCAAAGCATGGCGAAGCATCTTCCGGACCAAGTCGCGGACGCATCAGGAGGGAGGTGGGGATGAAGCGTGCGATATGCTACCGACTTCGATGCTTTGGAGGCTTCGCCTTGTGGACACTTTGGACCGGGGTCGTTCTCTGGAGGCCGTATGGAGCTGAGACTCTCTGAGCGCATCGCTACTAGGAGCAAGGATGCGACTAGGGGCTCCTGGCCTTACTACTAGGAACAAGAAGCTACTAGGAACAAAGGGCATCGCTAGTGGTGCCAGTGGCGCCAACAGACCTGTTATGAAAGATAAAATTGGAATACTAGGTTTTTGCTTTCCAACCCTGTGTGAAGGTGTGCACAGGTGCTTCTTCAAGACTTTATTGAAGGGGCATAGAGAAAAAATTGGACTCCGCTTTAATGGGTCTAGATGATTTGTTTTGTTAGTCGCGTTGTTGAAAACAGCATAATACTTTCACAGTGAGGTCTGCCTACGCACACCCATTCAAGAAAAGATGTGAAGAGGACCTCACTTAGACTTAGGCACTCCCATAGTGACATGCTGGGATGAACTTCGGCAGTCCTATATCAAAGGAGTGCCTTTGTTTCAGCACAAAGCTGGCTCACATTTAGGAGCACATGGTCCACTATCACCATTTGTGTGGCGTCTCACATTGCAGTAAATTCATTGTTCTCTGAACAGCTTCAGCAACAAAACCCTAACCCTAATGACCCTAATGCCTCTTACCACCCCTTCTGCAAAAATAGTTGTAGCAACTCTGGAGGCTTTTGCCAGCCTAATTTCCTGCAAGCTGGCTGCCAATTATCCTTCTTACAAGCAACGTTTTGGCTGGTGGTGTAACAATATTATTTCCTATTTATCGTTTTTTCCGGCACCTTATGCCTACAGAATATGGATATTATGTTAAGTTTCGGTGTGGAACCCAAGACATCCGCAGCTTTTCCAGCCTGAGTTCTCATTTCCCACTTTACATCTTTTCATGCCACGTGCTCAGAGTCACGCCACCCGTGCTGGGCTCAGTTCACAATGGACGAGGTTAGTGGTGGATTAGCATTTCCAATGCAGACTCATCCAATTTGTGTTGACGAAAAGTAACAGAAAAGTAGCCAAAAGCTGCTCCCAAGGTACTAATTTTGTGTCCACGGCACCTTCAGTAAGTCTTCTTGATGCGGGGCTCAATGGAAAGCCGTGAACAAAACCTTCGCCAATTGGACAAGTCGGTGATATCTCGAAGTGGGTTTGCTCACACCCGCCTTCCTATTCTAGCCCAGTGGGGCAGCTTGTCTCAATCTGAGGCGGTAGACTTGCCAGTTGGCCACAGGTTGGAAGACGAGAACAAGGACGCTATTAACAAAGGGCATAGCAAGAAGCCTACTACGTAGTAGTTCTTGGCATTACTACTAGGAGCAAGAATCCTAGTAGTAGCAAGGACGCTATTGGATTCAAAACGTTTCAGGATGTTTTGCAAACGGTAGTTGTGCCTGTATGGCAGGTGGCGCGACACGCCTGTCTTACCGCATGGGTCAAACTTGGGCAAGCCGGATTCTTAGAGCTTCTTGTTCCTAGTAGCTTCTAGTTACTACTAGTAAGGCACTTGTTACTAGAAGCGATGCACTTGTTCCTAGTAGCTTCTTCTTCCTAGTAGTACGGCCAGGAGCCCCTAGTAATTAGCGTTCTTGCTCTTTGCTCCTAGTAGCGAACATTGCTCCTAGTAGAAATGCCCTTTGTTACTAGTAGCGATGCCAGGAGCCCCTAGTAGCTTCTTGTTACTAGTAGTACGGCCAGGAGCCGGATTCTTAGAGCTGAGCAAGACTCTCGTTGCTTTCAATCAGGGTTGGCACCATGAGTACATGATAATCTTTTTCCATGGTCGTTTCTTCAGGTCCACACTGATCTAATTCTCCCCCGCCCCTAGCAAAAAGGTTTCTTGATTTTGCAAAGTGGTGATCCAGAGAAATGAAAGGCTTTCAGAATAGTTCCTGTCTTTGCAGAAGTGGGACATCAAAGGAAACCAGTCGATTCTTTTTCTTGTCGTGAACCGATAATGGGTCCAATTGGAAGGATGAAACACGTTTTCCGCATGAACATCTAACAAGCATCATCAAAAGGCATTTTTGCGCAATGTGAGACACTGCCCTCACATGTAAGGAACAAGAAGCTACTAGGAGCAAAGGGCCATACTACTAGGAGCAAGAACGCTACCAGGGGCTCCTGGCATCGCTGCTAGGAGCGATCGGACGCTACTAGGAGCAAACACATGTCCATGAAGATGTCGTGATCATGAAGTTGACATGCGCAATTTCGCAATGGCCTCCAACTCGCATTTGCAGATTTGTTCTACACCCGTATCAGAACACCTCTGCTTTATGGCCTAGATTTATGTTTTATTTGTTTCCTATGCCTGTAGCTGTACAGAAGGGTGCCCACCCCAGCGCTCTTTGTCTACACACCTGTCTCAACACACCTTCATGGACACCCGCGTCAAACCAACTTCAGAATGACGTAGTTGTGGTGGCAGGTGTTTTGTCCCAGTGAAACTGAAACACCTGTATTTTTACACCTTGATGATGCTGCCATGATGATGATGATGATGATGGTGGTGACTTGGCGATGTTAAGGGGTAAAAAGACAATTGGAGTCGACAGCCTGAAGCAAACCCTTCGCATGAGTTGTCGCAAACTAATCACCAACATAAACACACGGCCTACGTGACATGAGTTGAACTGATTTTTACATGAAAATAGCTGGCAGGCTTACCCAGAGTCAACGTTGTCGTTTTGTTTGGTAGCTCGATCCTTGCGGCACATGATGCACATGGTTTGATTGAATTTGCACTCGAGCATCGTTGTCAACCCTAGACCCTAGAGGCCCTAGACCCAATCTATTGAAACATTTGGCATGTATGCCAACAATCTCTAATTACGACTGTTGATTCACGAACTCACTTCTAAGGAGTGGTGTGGAAATTGACGTCCTTTGTAGCGTAGCGGTTCTTGAGATCATCCCCTGCAGCATGCTTAAAGAAAATGTGCTCAATCCACCCATTTCCAATCCACAAGACTTGATCTATTCGCTGGTCACCCACTCTGGTGTTGTGTACTTCCTTCCACTTGTCCAGGGGAGGCTGTGAGAGCGCCAGATGGGATTCTGCGGATTCCCCTGTTTCGTTATTTCTTCACCAAGCTGTTTTGAAGAACCTCGCACCACTGGCAACAGGAACTTCGCGAGGTCTTGATGGAAACGTTGATGTGTTGGACCCTCCTTGCATTCAATATGGATTCTGGATTCTTTTTGTTTGATATATTTTGATATAGGGTTTGAAGACGCACATGGAAACCGGGTTCAAGAAGTTGTGGTCTGACCATTCACCTTGGAGAGGTGAATATGTTAGGGTGACCCTTTTGAACAGATTCGCTCGCACGCACACAGATCCAATTCCGTTGCTTTCAGGTATTTGATCCAAGCTTGCCCAGACTGCACGGAGCCAGGTTTTTAGTTTGTGTTCCATTGATGGTAGGTGTGCACACAGCAACATGCTTTTGTATTCCCATGCTTTTTTGGTGAACATTGGGTTTTTTTAAAGCTTGTCCCAAGATTAATGTTCGATGTTAGGCGAGGAAGACGAGCACTTCTCCTCAGATTTTGTGGCCGCGCTGGATTTTTTGGCCTCATTGCTGCTTCAAGGCGAAACATGGTGAAGCAGGAATATTAGAGCTTTGTCAGCTTTTCTGTGGTGTTTGGGTTGGTTGTTGGCGTTCTTTCCCACAGCTTGATTAATTGTGTGTGCATGACGTTGTTGCTGGTGAGTGCGCATGCGCATTCTCAATGGTGTTTTGATCTCGCACTTGCTTTTCCATAAATGAGACGCCAAGCAAATTCTGTGAGGGTTGGGAGGGGGAGAAAAAAGAAGAACTATAGACAAACTACCGTTGCTGCTCATGATAGTTTGTTGTTTGATGGCCCGACCCATTCTAGGTTGTCAATCTGATGTCCTCAGTAAATTGTACTCGCTTTGATCTCAGAAACGGGCTTTCCGATTGAAAGATCGTGCATTTCCGTTTGATCTCAGAAAATGCATGTCGAGGTTTACCAAAGAGGCCACAGAAGTCCCGATGATCCAGCACTGGCACAAGAGATGGAGGCGTTGCGGTAAGAACTGAGCATTGGTCAAACTGCAGCACCACACTCTTTCGCTTTGTGCAGTTTTTTTGGAAAGACTTGACAACGCACTGCGGGAAGGGTTCTTTACATCTTTACAGCTACTTGGAACTTGTAATACGAGCATTTCTTACTCATAGCCAACATGTCCACTACTATAGTGGCTCATCTCTTTTTGCTAGCTACCTCCAACCCCCTGACGATCCTCCTCATGGCACCGCATTTTTTCTGAATGTGTAGGGTTGGTTTTAGAAGAGTGTCAAGGAAGACTACCCCCAAGAGTGTGCTACAAGGGTTCATGCAAATTCACGCAACAGAGTCAAGCTTGTCCCACAGAGTGTCCTGGAAGAGTGGAACGCAAAAGCCTTGCACAAGAGTGTGTATTGAAACCAAAAGAGCATCAACCCTTGTCAGCCTGAGAGTGTGGTACAAGAGTGTCAAGCAGGAGTGTCGCGCTGGCTGCGTCTCAAGCCATCTAGTTTAAAGGCGTTTGTTTTCATAACTTGCTTGATTTGATTGCAACATACAGTTAATTCACCCACGGCTTCCTGGGACAAACACACCAAATTTAGAGATAAGCGTTTTCTAAACAATTTTGGTCTGAATTTGGTGACCTTCATGTTCCAGCAGTTTTCAGTAATGTCGACGTAGGATTAATCAACATTAATCAACGGCCCCGCCCCCTTAAAGGTCAACAAGGTCAACGAGGTTTGAGATTGGAGGTTTTGGAGATCACATCCCGCTAATGAGGGTGATGACCTGATGCTGGATGATGGTGGATATGATTCTGTGTGAACCCTTTGTGAGCTAGAAACGTTAAGATGTTGATAGAGTTTTAATAAGGGAAAATGACAGATACTTTTGCCAGAGAGGTTTTTAGGGATTGTAGGACAATGGATGCTGACCAAAAGTTATTGGATGCTGGGCTTGATGGTAAATAGGAATGCTGTAATTATAATTGTAAACATTTTTTGCTTTTTTGGGGCAGCTGGGCTTGATTAATAGGGGGAGGTTTCTGCCAAGGGACACTTTTATTAGGGTGATGGACATGTGGAATTTAGGTTTTATATTGATTTAGTATTGGGGGCTCGAGCTGGGCTTGATCAATAGGGCGAGGTTGCTTAATGTTACTTAATCCTAGGTTGACATTAAGCAGATAACAACTTACAACATTTATATAAACACAGCCCTAATCAGAAAAAGCGAAATCATCCATCTTAGGGCTCTTTTTTTGCACCGGTTACGGCATCCGACCCTCAAACCGGATCGAGTACAGTAACACGCTATTAGTAGCAAAGGGCATCGCTGCTAGGAGCAAGAAGCTAGTAGTAGCTTCTGGCATTATTACTATAGTATACTAACCATAGTAACAAGGGCACCGCTACTGGCAATGAAGGGCATTACTACGAGCAAGGACGCTACTTTTGATGGTTTTGATCGAAGGATGCTGAATGAACGGGAGCGACGCGCAGAAACCAAGTCGTCACTCCGCAGGTCAGACTTGACCGAGCGGATCACCGTGGCCGAGTTGGAAGAAGCCCGTAGCATGAAAACATGTTTTTCGCATTTGCCCCAAAAAGAAACATCGAATTTCTGCAAGCTACCCCAAGCAAAGCTTGATTTCACCTTCATTTCAGAGCAGGCTTGGATTCATGTAGTTCCCAACTGGCGACAGCTCAAAGTTTCCTGTCCCGTCGTCCGACGTGTCAGCACCTCAGAGAGGCTTCTTGGCCGGAGCGAAACTCTTTGAGAACAGGAAGGCACTTTAGGCCTTTAGGGATTTATTTTATCCCTCGCATAAGGCCGCTGTGAATGGAGTTGACGTGCCTCTTTTGAGCCATGATGTTGCTGGGGTCTGAGAATATAGTACTGCAGGTTGATATATGTGTGCTCCCGTTTGGGGCATCATATTTATATTATACCGGCAGTATGCTTCGATAGGCGCAGTCGCGTTTGTGGTGCATGGATTGTCTCCAATCGCCAGCTGCGCCTCAACGGAATCCACATACACCAGAGGCAATCCATCTACTTTGAATATCCATCAGTCTTACCCGAGTGGCAAGGACAAGACTCCCAGCTTGGACCCTCGAATCCAGAAAACCTTTGTTAGCCTTGAATCAAACCTCACATCGAGCGGATTAATTTCGAAGCAAACAGACAGCAGTAGTTAAACGAGAGTTTCATCCAACCCCAGCAAAATCTAAAGTCAAAACATCAGGACATACTTTGCATATCTTTGCATCAGGTTGTACAACTATCAGAAACAAACACCGCTAATCACGAGATCAGCTTCACGCAAACGATTTGTGAATGCACAAGTGAAAGCAACCAGGACCGCATGACTTTCGCGCACCGCAACTGGAAGTTGCAAGTCAGCTAACCCCACCTTCTCCAAGCTTCATTGCTTTTCCAGCTCAAGGGAGTTCAATACAAGACCCCCGAAAAATCAACAGATATGATATTGATATGCATACGTAGATAATTATGCGATAAACTGCTTGATTGTGTGCCCCACGCAGTTTTGTTTTCTACAGTTCGTGTTGCTGTTATTTGATGACTTATTTGATGTTATTTGGCAAGAAAATCAAATTTTGAGTCAGGTTTGTGGATTGTGGCTTCAAATGGCATTGTGCGAGCATTCGTGTGATCCGAACTGTTCTCTTGTCCATGCCGTGCTCCCAGCTGTCAAACGGAGGTTTTTGTTTCCAGAGTAACAAGGTTCGCTACTAGGGGCTCCTGGCATCGCTACTAGGAGCAAGGACGCTACTAGGGGCTCCTGGCCGTACTACTAGGAGCAAGGATGCTACTAGTAAAACGTACCGACCGAGTCCCAGCATCCTTTCATCCCAGGATGGCGAGGATCTATGGTTCATCACTGTGCGACCGATTCCTGCAGGAAGCACGACACCTCAGTCGCATGATTTGTGAATCCAAGAAAGCAGCCCGCCCTTTGCGGGAAGCGCTCCAGGTGCCGTGACGACGTCATATTTGAACATGGAGAGTTTGATGAAGCCAACAAGCCTACGGAGGGAGGCAGACGACGTGAGAAGCCCTGTGTTCATCCTTTTTCCGCTCTCGTATAATTATTGGATCTATTTTTTTTGAGATGCTGATCACTTTTGCAGGAACTTCGGGAAGTTTGGGGCTTTGATTGTGCTTGCAGCCGATGCGCAAAGGACCAGATATGAGGCCATTTAGATCCATTTAGGGTAAACAGGTTTCACTGGCTCAAGCTGGCAATTTGCTGATTATTGTCTGCTTTGCTCGCCGCCTGAAATTTGAAACTTTCAGACAGTGGAACGCAGGACGACATCGAGTTCCTTCCCCAAAAGCACTTGCGGAGATTGCTTGTCAGCGAGAAGCTAAGCTGCACACCCTCTAGTTTCATGTCATTGTGTGGACACCGATGAGCAAGGACGCTACTAGGGGCTCCTGGCCGTACTACTCACATCACTTGCGCACCGCGTCTGCCGCGCTTCCCATGGTCCTACACCGTATTGGTGGGTACCAGGGAGTATGGTGAAATATCAAGTTGCTACAAAGTCAAAAACAAAACTATACAGCGTGGATACCCTCTAACTACGTGAGACCGAATGTCCGCGTGGCACGAAGATAGGTATAGGACTAATTACGAATTGTCTGCAGCCGGAATAGGGACAGATCCCAAGTCCCCCCGGCGATGCCAGGCCTTGCGAAGATTCCGCCGGTATAAGAATGATTGATGAAATGTGAGATTGATTGCATCAACGGCCGGGAAATGAGTCTGAACATATTGCATGGGAACCAAGCCGTCGGGATGGTACGGTGGTCGACATTGCAAGTTTTCTGCATACTTGAGAAGTGTACGCTGCACCGCCCCGGCATTTGGAATCTCAGGACGAAGGGGAAATCCTCCTGTGTAAGATCGACCCCAACCGATCTTGGTGAGGCTGAGGGAACCCGTTTTAGAGTACGTTGGCAACAGGGCTGTACTGGAGTAACCTTGAAGATAAAGCACAATGGTACGAAAGGCTTCTGCTTGTTCACGAAGCGACCGTCGTGGCACCGGGAGGGCGAGAACGCGAGGATCCTGCCAATGAATGGGCTGTGCACGGGTAGAGTTGCCAAGGCGGATCCAGGTGGGGAATTGAAGCCCGGTATTCACTATAAATGCCACGGCAAGTTCGTGCCAAGTAATGCCATCAGTGATGGTAGTGTCAGTATAGTGACCATCAGAAGATGGCCACCGGAGGGAGGCACAGAATCGGAGTACCAGGTCAGCATACTGATTGCCCCAGACGCATGCTGCGATAAATGCAGGGTGAACCTCTGGTTGGTAAATATCTGCTGGAATTGGGATGCTATATCGCTCCCTAGCTCGAAAAATAGTACCCCAATCTGTATGAAGATCAGCGGACGGCCCAGTGGTGGTATTCTGAGTGTGTGTCTGTTTAAGTTGTATGTGGTGCAGATTTAAGGCAGCCAAGTATTCCAAGATACATCGTGTTTGGGTGTACTGGTCATTATGCCACAACTGCGCCCGGCGAAAGAGAGAGTCAATGACGGGATGGTCTGTCTGGCGCGCACGAACGGCGGCAGTGTCCGCCCAAGAGTTACCTAGTGCATCATCTCGAGCAGGGCCTGGTGACATCTGAGTGATATTCTGATGGGAGCGGACCTTACGGAGTAGGAATTTAGAGGGCTGCCAATAGGTGGCGATCAATTGCAAAAGGTCGGCATTAGCTAGCCGATGCCAAGAGGGAAATGTGTGAGGTCGTGTCACTTGTTGAACGGTATTGATGACATACTGAGAATCTGTGGTAATGACAAGAGTGTGTGGCCATCGTTGTTCTGAAGCGTGTCGAATGATCCAGGCGACTGCCGCGAGTTCGGCCCTGGCAATCGATTGAGCCCCCTGCACGTGCTGAATTTTGATTGTTAGAAAAGGGGTGGTACACGAATCAGGCAAGAATTGGATAACTGACCAGGCGGCCCGCCGGGTTTCGGGGTTGAGAGGTGTATCAGCCGAGCCATCAGTGAAGAAATAGAGGATGTTATCATCTTGGCGAATTGACGTATGGCCTGTGTCGGAACCTCGGTGTGACAACAACTGGCGTAACTCGGCCATCTCTGGGAACGATATTGGCAGTGGCAGCCAGAGTTTATGTGGATTGTGTGTCAAATAAGTAATTGCTTGTGGATGTTTCTGACGAATGGAAAGAAATGCAGGGCAGTGAAGCTGTTGGTGTGCATGGGTGTCAATCTCGTCACAGAACGGACATTGAGCTGTCACTGTAGAAGTCCACATGGCTTTTACGGCTCCCACTTGGTATCCCCCTGTGAGATTATAAGCAACCTGCCTCAAGGCCGTAACTGACAGCGTTTTCAAGGCTCGAGACAAAATCGCAAAATCAAACGGGTAGTCGACAACACCTTTGCGGTGACAGATTTGTCTATTGACATGGTATGACCAAGCCTGGCGGAGTGTCTGACGTAAAAGTCGAAGAGAATCGTGTCGGATGGATACGGAGAGATAGCCATCCAGTGTCAAACGACCAGTGCAGTCTAGTGTCCATCCGACTTGATTTAAATAGCGAGCAGGGGCACCGGCTGGGCCGATTGCGGCACCCGTATGATTAATGACGGCTGTTAAAAACTGTGCGGCGAGGTTTGGGTTGTTGTGGAAGAGGCGGCGTAAGAACGATAATGCAGTGGATATCACATAGAGTAACGGGTCCTGCAGTTGGGTAGAGAATATATGGACAGCAAGCCAGCTGGAGATTTGAGACTCGGGTCCCACCAAAGCTGCGGCGGCTTCTCGCCGAAGTGTACGGAAATGCTTGTCCCCGACGATTTGGGTTTCAGCCCCGAAAAATGCATGAGGCCATACGGCCGTTTGAACAAAGCGGGCCTTCTGGACAATATCAGCATGGAACCGCCGAATGCGTTTGCATCTCTGGACTGCACTGCTGATCTTAGTCTTCAAATGGCCGAGGGTGATATGTCGAGTGTAGTGTGTCATACATCCCAGGTCTTTTGTAGAATTGAGGATCGAGATTTGGTTATCATCAGAGAATTCAAGTTGCAAGAATTCGTGCCACTCCCGGCGTGCTTCGGCAGTAGCGCCCCATGCCCATGATTTGGCATAATCAATACGCATTCGAAGACTGGCCACCAGTTGTTGGACTCGAGAAAAAGCTCGAATATTGTCTCGTTGATTAGTTGTTAGGTAGGACCAGTTATCGGCATAGGCATATGGAAAGACAGTGGGTGTATGGAATGTCCAGTAAAAGGCAGAGGATACTACAAGCATAGCACATACTGACAGGCTGTCGCCTTCAGGGACGCCTGTTGTCATGTAAATTGGTGGGCCAACATTGTTACGAACCTGCAGTCGTCGAGTCAACCGGCGTAAGTTCAAGAATCAAAAGTTCCGCTTCTCGCCCCGTGGTGTACAAGGAGATGAAAGATGACACGACGTGGCAGCAAGTTGAAGGCCTTAATTAAATCGAGTGTGAAACCGCGCCATGGAAGGGACTGCTTCTTGGCGGATTCAATCTGGAATTGCTGTAAGAAAGTGATGTCCTGAACTCCTCGAAATGGCAATCCTCCCGAAATGGCGCTAGGCCAGGTTTGTGCCCATTGGCTTAACAATTGGTCGGCGATGATTTTGGAAGTAAGGCGGCTTATATAGCCGATGATGGTGATGGGACGACCGTCTGTAATTGATGTTGCCGGGTTGCGTTTGGCAAGAAGAATAACTCTGGCAATGAGATGGTGGGCTGAGAGGCCGTGTGGCCATAAGAGGGCAAAAATGTGGGCAAGATCAAAGATGGCATCGAAGGGGAGGTATTGAAGCTCCTCAGCCCTCCAACCGTCAATGCCCACGGCTTTATATGGCTTAAGTCGACAGATGGTTTGTGCGACGACATGTGGATCCGCCCAGTGAACAGGAAGTGTCTCAGTGGGAGGTATGCGAGCTTTCAGAGACATGAGCAGTTCTTGCCATGGTCCATCCTGCTCTTCTTCTGCGTGGGTGTCGCGACTCCAAAACTGAGACCAGTAGTAATGGAAGGGAGTGGCCATTTCATCAAACTCAAATGCATACTGCTCTTGACAAAGGGTGCCATGAGTTGGCGCGACACCAGCAAGAACCTGACAGGACAAAACATGATCATGTTGTTCCATGATTCGCAAGGTGGCCTCACCGAAGCGGGCTGCAGCAAAAAGACGAAACTGTACTGACTGGTGAATAGTGAGTTGTAGGAGTCCTTTTTGCGAGCGATGCATTGTCGCCAAGGCTTGAATTTGAACTGGGAAGCCCGGGAGGATTTTATCTTCGTGTGCTTTAAGTCGTTGGTAAAAATGGGAGCTAGATTTAAATTTGGCATCGAGTTCCATGCCATGTTTATGCGATAACCGTCGAAGTCTAGCCTCTTGATGGCAATATAGGTCAGCATCATATTGAGTGATTTGGCGCGCACAGTACAACTGGTCAGGCGGTGGCAAAATCTGAGATACTGCTGGGATGGCTTCAAATTGCAAAAGCCAGTTGACCCAAGATCGACCATAGCCGTTAGCCAGGCGAATGGCTTGCCATAGTAAACAGAGTTGGGGATACTGTGGCAAGTCAGGCCAGCGAATTGGCGGCAGTTGATCCAAGTGATATTTCTTGTATAATTGCTCAAGGTTACGAAGGCGGCGAGTTTGTCGAACCTTGAGGCGGCTTTTAAGAGAAGTCACATCGAAAGGTGGTTCGTAATAACCTGCACAGTCTCGCTTTGGCGAGCGTGGGCAAGCATTACGGACTAGCTTAGGGGTGGCACAGCGGCCTCGAAAAGTCCTCGGCAGGAACCCTTGGGCATGGTACAATGGGTCTTGGTGGTGTTGCTGACGAAGGCTCAAGTCAACTGCTCGTTCAATCCGGGAGGACCATTGGTAAAGGCACTCAGTGGCAGCAGCATCCGGGGTAGATGCCGGATGATGAGAACGGATGGATGGTGTCTGTCTAACTTTTTGATACTGACTGGTAAGAACTTGTTTGTCAACGGGAAACAAAGTCCATGACTTTGGAACAAACCACGAATAGGAATCGATGGTCCTAGTAGGGATGTCAAATTGAACATGCACAGCCCGATGGTCAGCGAATTGATGTTCGGGTCCGATGTCAATGCAGCGAATGTATTTGACCAGGAATGGATGAAAGATCATGGAATCATATCTTGTGGCCCCCTTACATGTAGGCTGGAATATGTGCCATTTTAGGCAGAGATGGGTTGAGCTTGCCCTGAACATCTTCGTATACAGAGCTCGGAACGCGGAGACCGTATCCTCGCTTGCCTTTAAATGATAGTACAAGGCCGGCTTGCTCTGGAA